TATTGTAAATGAAAGGCAAATTTATTTAAATTAATTATATTGTTTTTTGTTTTTTGAAATTCCAAATTTTATGTTCAATATATTTTTATTCTAAAAGAAATATTTATTTATAATGCAAGCACAGTTCACAATCTATTTATTTTATTATTCGCACTTTGTCTGCTTTTGGTATTCTTAGCCAATATAGTTGCCAGAGACACATACATATATCACACATATTTATAGCAAGTGCAGTTTCTGTTAAAGTCAGCAATTCACTCACACAGATCCGGCTCAGCAGACCCCAAATAGGTGTGTGTGTGTGTGTGTGTGTGTGTGTATGTGTGTGTGTGTGTGTGTGTGTGTGTGTGTGTGTGTCACATATTATTCAGTTCATTAGTTGCGAAATTCTAAACACGTTTGCCTATGCTTGCTGCATTCAGAGTGCACTTACGCAATGGGCGTGCTGCTCTCCTTAACGGATTGACTGGAGCTTGGTGTGCTCGATGTCTTGCTTTGTTTCAGATTTTAGATTTTCGCCTCTTGATTAGCCGATTGGTGATCTCGTCAGCTACTGCGCATGCGCGCGCGCTGCTGTCCGCTTGGTAAATGAATCGCCGCTGCCGGCGCTTGCAACGACGAAGCCTATGCGGCACGAATCAAGACGGGTAGCTGCCCGTCGGTTAAGTCGGTCAGTTTGACGCGCTACGCTCGCTCCAGCACGCAGAGCCAGACCCAGACGCCGCCGGTGCTGGACAGTGGCCCAGTAAGTAGCCCGGACTAGTTTGTGCTCGGCGAAACAGCTTAAGCTCTCTCGTCTTTGTATTTCAAGTTCAGCGCATGAACTTGCAAAAATTTCATTTCAGTTTATTTTGATTTGCGGCTCACAGTCAGCCTCTGCTCCGTTTCATCACACGCCATACATTTCGATTTTAGTCACAGCCAAATGTTTTCGTTTTGCATATCATGGCTGGCTGGCTGGCTGGCTGGCATTTGATTAACAGCACTCGATTATGCTCGACATCCATTGGCGGCAAAGCATGCGCTAATCAACCATTTGCCTATTAGCAATTGCTTGCGAATAAATATAACTATGATCTATAGTGCTTCCGCTATTTAAAGACGCGGCAGCAGATGCTGCTGTTGACAGCTCGAGTTCAATGTCAACGCAGTCCCTGTCCCACTACCTCTCTCTCTCTCCCTCTCGCGAGCCGGCTATCTCTGTTTATCTTGTATCTATGCGCTTACTGGCGATGACTTCACGTTACAGCGATTACAAACTGAAAGCTCAGCCAGAGACATTTGCATATGTAAAGCATTAATGTGCGGCTATTCATTAATGGCCAAACATCATATATACATATATATATGTGCGTCTTTGGTTCGGCTTCAGGTTGAGGGATTTGCCATTTCGTTGCTGATGTTGCGACTTTCATAATCAATTTTTTGGCGCCAGCGACCTTCAGTTACCCATTTATACACATACACATATCGATATATATGTATAAATAAATATCTCTTTTCTATAGTTTTTCTATTTTAAATCCAAACAAATTGCCGCCAATGCATTTCAGCCGACTCTCGCGCGCTTTTTGTTTAAACGTTCATAGTTGATATTTGCACAGATTTTATGCATATTCATTTCGCATGACTTGGCAACTGTTGAATTGACTGCTGTTTGATTTTAATCAAGTGCAAAAACACACACACTCACACACACAGACGTACAGAAAAGTGCCGTACTCATAGCACTCGAAAGCATTAATTGTTAATAGATCAAAAGCTGAAACAAAGCCCTGCTAATTTAAACAGATATGCTAAACAATAAATAACGAATGTGTTTAAGTGTCAAAAAGTGATAGTATATTTAAATTAATTCGCCTAAGGCGCAGTATGATTAAGCACTTTTGTTATTTTATTCGCAGTCAATTTAATATTAATATGTCAAATGACACAAAATTCAAATCGTATATATAACAGGGCTTCCCCAAAATGTATATAAAGGGAACGAATAATCAACTAAACAGTCTTAGAAATATTAAGAGATTTTTGAAGAGTGTATTTGATATGGGAATCGTTAGCTATAATTACATATGAATTGAAATATTAAACTATTAAACTAAATTAAAATAAATTCAGTTGAACACAGTCACATCTTAGGCCTGTATATATACATAAATATATGTTAAGCATTCAGTGAAGCACTAATAAATGCTATAATATATAGCGTATTTCGATTTTCAACTTCTCTATTGATCCTACCAGAAAAAAATGAACTTATGCATACATATATATAATACATATATATACTGTGGAGACCCGATACTTCGAAATGGCAATGGGATCAGTTTTTGGTCGATTTGCACAGAAATTCAAATTATCGATAATTATCGAGAACGCATTTTTTCTATGGATCTATGTATCGCGATTTTCGATTTAGCGATTCGACTGTATATAAATATATGTATATGTATATATATTCATATATCAAGACAGATAAACACACGGACACCCAGACGGGAAGCATTACGAGCATTGCACAATATTATTATGTTTTTAAATCAATTTGCGAATGGACATACACAACTAAAGTTTCAATTTTGCCACGCTCTTGAACTCTCTTATGACTTGACAAACCTTTAGTGGGTGTATATATACCATACAGTAGAATCCGATTATGATGACAACGTAAAGTCAGTACGGTTATTTGTCTGGTCCCCAGAAAACTTTTATATGAGAAAACTCACCTTGACCGGCGTTATAATCGGATTCTACTTTATTTCTCTTTCTGTTATTCTGTTCTCTGCAGAAGTATTATTTTTCGACACATTTGTCTTTTTCTCAATTTGACATGCCCAAAGTACCAAAATTACTCTCTAAGTTCCTCTGGGTACTTCAAATTTTCTTTTTTGTAACGAAATAATTTGTTAGCATATCAAAATGTAAATTTTTTCAAGCAAGAAGATGTAGTATTACATTCTGCTTATCATTATTTATTCCTATTTTATTTTCATTTATTTTGGGTTAGTTATTTTCTTAGATTTCGATTTAGTATAATATTAAATTTTCCACTAGATGCTTATTTGAAATATGTATATCTAGCACAAACACTTTAAAATGTTTGCATTTCAGAACTAATTGAGTAAGCACGTCGAATGCTCAGAAGCTGTCAGGGTTCTTTCAATTAGAATTTACAAGCAATAGACAATACATATTCGTATGCACATGCTAACTAATTAATTGAGTAAACCCATAGACAAGGCAACGCATGCTGACTTGCTGATAGAACATTTCGTCATAATATTTCGTCAGCTTGAGGTCTTTTAGTGTCTTGGATCGCTCAAGAACAATTTGCGACCATCGACGGTGCATTGGCCAGGGAAATGTTATTTCGAGTCAAACTGAATGGAATCAAGTCACATTATTCACTGCTAATTGCTGCAGTCTAATTGGACAGCCAAATAAATGCTTGGCAACGACCTTGTCAAGGTCAGCGGCAAAGATTACCAAAACTCTATAATATAAACAATTTTGCGACGGCCGGTGGAACAACAAATGCTACAACAACTGAATAACGACATTCGCACGCTAATCACACACACACAGGCACACAATATAAATTATCAAATTTAAACTGCATAAACACAGACACAAATCGAGTTGCGCTTCAGCGTGGCAACAGTTCTCACAGTTGTTTTCATTGTCAAGTGCTCTACATGTCTATAAGTCTGTAATTTGCGCCTGGCTCGTAAATCACGTGTCTAATGCCAAATGCCGTTAAAAAATGAAGACGTGCGCTGAGACCACAATAAACCACGGCATGCACAACACCCAATAGCAATAAAATTCAGCTGAAAATAACCTCCGTAACAAATAACAATAAACGCTGCAGCAGCTACTCGAAAAAACCAAACACGAACAAGTAAGAAAGCTCTAGTCGAGACTGCTCGACTACGAGATCCCCTGAACC